ATTTTATATATTACATAATATAATTAATATATTTTATATAATAATTATTTTATTATATATATATATATATATAATATATATAATAATATATATACATAAAAAATAGCAACAAATTCTTAATCTTGTCAAATGTTAAATACTTCAAATGTAAAAAACATTTTCTATTAACGAAGTTTCTTTTAATGTGATGACATTTTAGTAGAATTTTTTTGATAAAGAAGTGATAAATTAATGAACAAATAAGGTGTCCTTGTTTATCCGGTGAATTTTTGTCACGCTTTAACGAGTTCAATATATGAGAAATAGTCAAATAAAAATGATTATATCAAGCAACGTATTACGTACTCCACCTTTCGTAAAGAATTCAACCAATGAGATTTAAAAAAAAACCTTAGTTGGAGAACTAGTCGTGGAAATGAGTAAACCGTGTTGCAGTTATTACATTTAAATGTAACTGCTATTTATAATGTAAAAACTGTTTGTGATAATATTATCAAATTATTTTTTAACTAATCTTGAACACTTACACGTTCGTTCGGTAATTAGTTTTTTTTTTTTTCGAACGAATCGAAATTACAAATAATTATCAAAAACAGAAACGACTTTGAACGAGTTGTTACGACTGACCGATCATTGACCGGTCTATAAATTATGATTATATGTTTGAGATTGTAAAAAAAAGAAGTCTTTCACCATTGCGTCATTCTACTTATCTAATGCAAGTAACAAAAATCTATATCATAGATATAAATAAAAATGTGTTTTAGATTGTTAATTATAAAAATATTATTAACTCTGTGAGTGGTGAATACTTTTACCTAAAATGTTTTGTAGAAATGAAATAATTTATTATTAATCAAATTCTAATAATAAATTATATTTCATAATTAAAATGTTTCTTTATGAATATAATTTAATTTAATTAATATAATTAAATATTATTAAAATATGAATAATATTATTATTTAATAAATATTATTTATTAAATTATATATTTTTTTTTATTTACTATATACTTATTTTATTTATATTTATTATATATTTTATTATATATTCTTTTTTTATATTTATACATTTTTTAATTATTTATTTTATAAATATTACATTATTTTACATTAATATTAACAAACACGTATATGCATCGAACAACTTAGGTTAGTAATTTTTACCAAACGCATATATGTATGTGTTCATAGCACTTAAAGGGGTTAATGATTTGTGATTATAATCATTCGTTTATTAAAAAAAGAAATAAAGTTGTAATAATTTAATTAAAAAATTGTCTACCTCGAGAAAAGAAATACCGATAACTTCCGTTTTAATTTAATCTCTCATTACATTAACAATTGTAATTCTATCATTTGAACTCGCATACTTTAAACACACACACACAGATACGAGTATAGTAAATGCTATTTTGTAATACTCACATGAACGATTTAAAAGTTTGATCTCTTAATTCTTTTATTATTCCTTTAATTGAAAGTTTATAATTATTTTACTTATCAAGGCCACCAACTTGGAAAAATTGCGAAAAGGTAAATAGGATGAAAGAAAGATAAAAGTGTTACAAGTGAGATCGTTTATTCAAACGTTTCGTATTTGGATAAAGTATTTGTGAATAAAAAGAAAAAAGGAAAAAGAAAAAAGGAAAAAGAAAAAAGGAAAGAATAGAAAAGAATAGAAAGGAATAGAAAAGAAAAACACACATACGCATACACAGAGTAGCGAAATCGTAGGTGAATCGTTGGTGTAATTTCATTCGTATCCTTTTGTACAAAATCCGATTGTTAAAAGAGAGATTTCTCTCTTTAAAGTCAATGAGAGAAACTGAATTTTATCAGTGACTACTAACCACGAAGTCTACCTAGTAGAATCACTTGCCGGAAAGTACGAGAAAAATATAAATTCCTATTTTATTTCTAACTTTTATATTCCAAAAAAAGGGTACATTCTTCTGTTTCCTAAATGTTTATATTTTTATTCAATTATTTTCTTTAATTAATTAATTTATTTTCACTAAGGAGATATCATAAATCTTTGATAGCTTTTCTTATTTTATTTTTCTTTTTTTATTAGGATAAAAGTAATGTCGTTACTACGCATGTCAAATTTTTCTATTAAAATATTTTAGTCAAAATACCAATTGATTATTTTTATCATTTCCTAAACGTTTATATTTTTATTCAAATTTATTCAAATTCTTTTTCTTTAATTAATTTATTTATTTTATTAAGGTAATCATAAATCTCTGACAATTTTTCTTTTTTTATTTGGGAGACCGAAAAGTAATGTCGTTACTACGTATTATCCAATTTTTCTATTAAAATATTTTAATCAAAATACCGATTGATTATTTCAATCATTACGATATTACAAATGTTGTACAACAGATAGAAAAAGATTGTTTTGATAACATGATTAATTAATTTAATTAATTAATTTAATTATTGATTAATAATACAAATTTATTTCCTTTGAATTTTGAGGTTAAAATCGTTAACATTACATTTCAGTCCAACCTAAATATTTTCCAACAACGTAAACCCATCTTCAAGAGAACAAAATAAATTATTACTATTACAAAAACAAAAACAAAAGTAAGATATAGTAACGAATAATAAATAAAAAAAATCGTATCAATTGAATAGACTAAAAGAAAAAGAAAAAAATGCATGGTTGAAGAAAAAAAAAGGATGAATCCTTTAAAAGGATCGTTAAAAAATGATTTAACTCGAAACACAAATGTCGAATGACAGTGTCTGTTAAAAACCGTTTTTTGCAATTAAATCGTAGGGAAAGTGTTGTGCCCATCAGAATTGGAGGATGAGGAGGAGGATGAGGAGGAGGATGAGGAAGAGGAGTAGGAGGAGCAGTAGTTCTTTTCTCTTTTATCGACAAAATCATTCGGCAATCCGCATGCATTTGCATCCTCGTTTAGGAGAATGAGAGTTAACTCGAGGTACGTTGATATATATATAGTAGACTATATATATAGTATTAGGGAGGTATAATATTCACAAAACGAGAACAGGTTCGTTTTAATACTTTTCTCTCTTTCTTTCTGGTTTATCGTTTATGCCGGAACGAACGCGTAAACCGGCCGATTTGAAATTCAAGCGCCAACTTTATGCTCGATCGCTCCTCAGAATAAAAAAAAAGAAAAAGGAAACCTTTCCTTTATTCTCTTCTTCTCTTTCTCACACACCTTTTTCCTACTTTATTTTTTTATTATTATTCCTCTCTCACACTCACTAACAATTCTTTCTTTTCGATTGTGGATCAACAAGCTAAGATATCACCAATCACTACTACTACTACTAATACTAGCCTGCTAACCCGCTTTCAATATTTTCTTTAGGACCAATTTTTGTTTCTAATCTCAATAAAATAAATAAAATCAATATCACCTAATTTTTGTACTTTTTATTTTCCAACACTCGATATATATATGTGTGTGTATGTGTGTACGTGTGTACATAGATATTATTTATATTATAATTTTGTGTTTAACATACCAATAATAATATCCATCCGATTTATAAACCAAAATCGACCCCATCCAGGTTGCATTTCCTTCTTTGTATTATTCCCTAATTAACTTTACTCTATATACTTTATTTATTGACTTTTTGTTTTTATTTTGTTTTGTTTTGTTTGTTATTATTAATCAAGATTATATTAGATTCGCGTGAAATATGACGAGTTGAACGTACTATAGTGATTGTTCCTTTCTTCTTCAGTTTATAACACTACCAACCAAGTCGACGAACGTACCTGTACTGATCCTTCTTTCTATACTTAGTATCTTCTTTACCTGTGCTTGCTTACCTGTTCTCAACGTAAATCAATTTCTAGCGGCAGATGAGATGACCCGTTTCTTCCGGGTTTTCTTCCTTTCTTTCTTTCTCTCTTCTTCTCTTTCTAACTTGGTGTCATTCGTTAAAACATATTTCACAAATAAAATCAATAATAATCGACATTTTTCTGGTAAATCATTATTTACCTGAAATATTTTCATATATGGACTGTCTCTATTTTGAAAGTGATTTAAGTTAATTTTCTTTTGTTTCGAAAAAATTAAAACGCTTTCATATCAATGATTACTCAATTTCTTTTATCGACCAATTTTAAATTGTACAAAATATGGACACTTTTTAAGAAATTCAATATTACCTAGTTATCCACACACACACACACACACACACATTAAAAGTTTATATTAAATTAAGCATAAATTACGTGATATCTCATTTTGTTTTTTTCAAACTGGATTTATAGACCATTTTTAAAATAAACGATTCATATATTTTTGTTCATATCACGCGCGACCATAATTTTGTTCAAACTTTATGAAATTAAATAGAATAACAATTTGTTTCTATAATATCATTGGGTTTCTTTGTTTTCTTGTTTGTTTTATAAAAGAAATCAGGTTAAAAGAAAGAATAATGCTAATCGAACATGATTAATTCTACCCTCGTTGATTATGCATTTATTTCTTCTTTTTTTTATTTTTTTTTTGTTCTTTTCCGAAAGCTAGTTGACTCTTACATTCTAACAGTCCTCCTTCTCCTTCTCCTCCTCCTTCTCCTCCTACCAAACTCTGATAAAAACGATCGTATGGAATGAGGACTTTTCAACTTCGTGTTAAGAGTTTTAACTCTTTCAAAAGTGAAGTACCATATACATATATATACATACATATATATATACTAATTATATATTTCAGATCACCGTTAGAGTTACGAGCAATTTATGCGCGTTACGACAGAATGTTTCTAACGTTAACATACAATTATGATAAAACAAGTTTACTTTAGAATTGATATAAGAGATCGTCGGTTTATATATGTGTGTGTATACTTATTTATATATAATAATCCATACATTGTTTTCAATAATACATTGAACATTATTTCGAATTATTGTTAATGATTTATTTTAATCTTAAACGAAAGTAATGCAAATATCCTGAAACATATAATTATTATATATGTATGTATGTCTGTGTATATTGAATGAAAAATAAGAATATAAATAAAAGTAAATAACACCTTTTACAATTTTCAAAATTTTTCTTTATAGAATTTTCTTTTACCAACAATTAATAAAAGAAAATTTAAATAATAAACATAGAATGAAATTATCAACAACGGATAAAATTGATCATCGCATATTTCTCTTTGATAATTGTACTTTGAAATACCACCGTTGATAAAACATAAAATGATTGATAATGCAAAAAATAAAAATGTATATATTTTATCAAAAATACAATTTGTGAAATTTGAATAATTCTTTTGAATAAAATTTATGTATCATCGTCCAAATGAACAGGTCTTTCTTGTATAGGTGTTCCAGTTAAATCGGGCATCGGTAAAACGAAAATAGCAGCACCTGTGTATAATTTATTCATAATTTATAAAAAAAAATAATGAAATTAATTTAATAATAATATAAAAATTTTCTTCAAAATTAAACAAATAACGAACTTATTAAAATAATAGATGCTGCTATTATACTAAAATTACAGGAAAGATTTGATATAAATTTGATCATTGCCGCTGTTAAATGAGGTAATATTCTTGTAAATCCCATAACAGTTCCCCTAAATATATAATTATTTATTAAATATTATCATTCATAATGATTATGATATTATATTCATTAAAAAATATAATAATTGTATACCTCAAACCTGTTGGATAATTTTCTGCTATTAAAATATTAACAATTGTATGATTGATCGCATAAGATGCGAGAAATATTACGGACAAAATAATTTGCATGACATATTGGACTACAAAAATCACACAGAGTATTGCTAAGCCTCCTATAATTGATGAAAATACTGCAAATGTGTATAATAAAATATTTCAATCAATTAATAACAAACAAATTGTATGCATAATAAAAAATATATATATATATATATATATATATATATATATATATATATATATATATATAAGTAAACTAACTCAATATCCACTTTTTCTTAACAANTATATATATATATATATATATATATATATATATATATATAAGTAAACTAACTCAATATCCACTTTTTCTTAACAATTTGTATTCCTATTATGAACAAAATTTCACCCAATAAATAACTAAAAGAAATACACGATAAAAATACGAAACGTTGTTGATTAATTTGTTGACAATTCAATAAAAGACTCTCTGCTATCTGTAAAAAATTATTATTGCACGTATAATCATTTCCTCGTTTTTTCTCAATAATTTGTATTCCAAGTTCTTGTAACAAATGTGCATCCCAAAGAGCAAGCCAAATGAATCTTTAAAAATCAATGAAAAACAAAATTCATTTATAGGATATTCAATTAAATAATTATACACACGTGGTGTAAAGGACAAAGTTGTTATTTGAAAAAATTACCCAGGAAATTGTAAGAAGCACAAAAGTAAACTGTAAATCGTTAAACGTCTAAATGGTAATTTGAACAATTTTTGTATTCGTTCTTTCGTTTTAACGCAGTATCTATAAATCATTTTGAAAAAACTGTCAGTATCTTGGATTCCAACGTCAGGTTCGATGCAAGTATTCAAATTAATGCTCTACAAAAATATATCAAATGTTTTTTCATGATTAAATTGTTATTTTCTTTTTTTTTCTTTCGTAATGTATTCAACTGATCAAAAAATACCGGATAAGTTTCAATGTGTTTGGAATTATTAATAGCATAAATTTGTCGAAGAACTTGTAAAGCTTCTTCCTGACGTTGTTGATACAACAAAAACCTAGGTGTTTCTGGAAGTAAACTAATAGCACAACCTATGATCAAACTAGGTGCACCACCAATTCCAGATAAAACTCGCCATGAATTTGGACGAAATTTTTGATACAACATTCGTATAATTGATGGAACTAAAGACCAAGATACGCCTATAATAAAACATACGGTTCTTGTTATAGTCAAATATCAAATTGGAAATATTAATTATATGATAAAAACCTAAAGCGAACAGATAACCGAGGATCCAAGCAATATCTACGACAGCCATACAAATTTCTCTTTTTTTCATTGGCAAACATTCGATGAGATAAACCCTCAGGACCGTATAATTTCCTGCTAATCTAAAAAAACGTACAAAAATATATTTCATTCTAACTATTTATTATACATATTTTGTCAGAAAATATAATTACCTACCCTAGGCCTAAAAAAAATATAAATATATTAATCAAAAATGACGTTTGAGCGAAAGATAATGCAATAGATGCAGAAAATATGAGAACCATGGTAAACGTAATGATTCCTTTGCGTCCACAAATATCGGCAAGACTTCCAAACAAGAAAGAACCAATTGCCATTCCTAAAATAATACAAATAATGACTAACTACGTTCATGAGAAAAAAAATTCAAATTATACGATGATGTATTATTCACATACCGAAAGATTGCGTAGCGTTAAATACTATGATGTCATTCTTCTCTAATTTTAAATCGCACATTGCTAATCGTGAGACAACGAAAACAATTAAGGAAGCAATGGCTTCCACGAATGTACAAATACCACAAAATCCGACTATAAAATAATGACATGCTCCCCAACCTATATTATAATTAACATTTTTTTATTTAATATACTTCTAAGATAAATGAAACATTTTAATAACATAAATTCTAATCATCAATCTGAAAATTATTTAGATACTAAGATGCTACCCGTTCTATTCATTGCAATTTCACACCCGTTGCTCATAATTTTTGACAAGTCAGTCGTTCAAATAAATTTCTACGAAAAATAATCGCTACGTATATTAATTCGTAGATCATACAAATATTTATTTTATATCAATAATTCTTCATTCCCATTCACAGTATTAAATTTTCGAAATTGTATCTTCGTAGAAAAATAGATTAATAACACGATAACGCGATGACAGGACAACTGTCTATTTGCAATCATACGAAATATTTTATTACTAAAGGTGTCGTTGTTTGCTTTTTTATATATATATATTATATATATATATATATATATACTGTGTTGTATGTATAAGAAACGAAAGAAAAGAAAGGAGATGACACTGAAAAAAATTATACGTAAAAGATAGTAGACATTTATTTAAAAGTACAACTAAAATAGCATATATTTTATTATGAAAAAAAAAAAAATGACATTTGTATTTTAAATTATAAAATAAAATCAATCATGTATATTCAAATACATCAATGTAGTTTGAACAAGAAGATTTGTTTTTTTTTAAATGTTCACACATTTGTTTTTACATTTATAAATAATATATTATTTCATTTTGATTTATTACAAATGAAAAAATGCTTATTAAATATAATTTTTTTTTTTTTTTTTTTTGGTTACCTAATAATAATCTATTTCGTTTCGACAAAACATTGTAGGTAAAAGTATTTACCAATCAAAGNTTTTTTTTTTTTTTTTTTGATAAGTACGCGATTTTTGAACAATTTTTATTAATTTTATTGAACCTTACACATTGAACTGTTTTTATTATTTAGTTATTTTCTAACATAAATATCCCACTGTAGATATTTATTTTTCGTAATTGATTTGTAAAAAAAAAAAAAAATCAAAATGAAACGAAATATTGGGAGAAGAAAATATTTGTGACAATTATTACTTTTTTGTACAATATCTCCATTTATTATACATCACGGATGGATCTGAAAATATCTACTGAAAATATATAGGATCCATATAGAAGATTCGTTTGTACGTTTAAAAAAAAAAAAAACAAAAGAAAACATAAACCATTTACGAGTCCTTAAAATATTCTTTAGAAGCGACTACGTCAGGTTTCATGGTCTTCTTGCCTGGTTTCCAACCAGCTGGGCATACTTCTCCATATTTATCCGTATACTGGAATGCTTGTACTAGACGCAGGGTTTCATCAACCGATCTACAAATTTACATATTCGTATAATAATACATATAATGTATTATGTATATTAAATTCAACGTGTAGAACGAGTCTCGATACAAAGGAATACATATATGTATATAAATATTTAAAAACTAGCTCAATACCTCTTAACTATTATGTGAATTATTGATTTACAGTTCATACATGAATTTTCATAATCAAAGAATTGGATATAAATCATGATAAATGAAAGAAAATCTAAATCCTACTTAAAGATAAGAAAAAAACCTCTCGAACGAACGTTTCTTTATCTTACAATAAGATCAATGAAACAAACAAACAAAAAAACCCAAAAAGAAAAAAAAAACAATTATCCAAGTTTCGTAATAAAATTCAACGCATATTTAAAAAAAACTTTAAACACAATTTTAGTCTACATGGTTTGTTAAATAGAAATCGTTTAATTGCGTAATAATACCTTTAAGTTGCGATAACACGATTGCAAGAAGCAAAAAAGTAAAAGATAATTTTGAAGGTAACACAAGTGTTAATTGCTACGCTATTCTTTCTCGTATTACATAAAACAAAAAACAAAAAACAAAAACAAAAAATGAGACGAACACAAATTGTGGTTTTGACTAAGAGAACGTTGAGAAATTACAATAATAGTGTATAATCGAGAATTAGAAATAAATTTTACCTTCCAACTGGTAAATCGTTGATGGTGATTTGACGCAAATTTTGTTTATCGTCAATAATGAAAAGACCACGGAACGGTATTCCGGATTCTTCATCAAGTACGCCATAATCGCGTGCAATCTTGCCACTTTTATCAGCAAGAAGTGGAATGTTCATTTCACCGATACCACCATCTTTGCGTGGTGTGTTGATCCATGCCAAATGAGTATAATGAGAATCGGTTGATGCTCCTATTACTTGACAATTAATGGCCTTAAATTCGTCAGCACGATCCGAGAATGCAATGATCTCGGTTGGGCATACGAAAGTACTATAATTAAATCAAATTTATTATTAATATTTATACATTTAACGTGTATTATGTGTGTCCTATTAACACATTCGCGACCGACATATTTTTTCTGATTCTTATACTAAGTATCGGCAAAAATAATGAAATTTTGAAAA